CCAAAAGAAATAGAAACAAAAGCAAAAATTGACAAATGGAATCTAATTCAAATTAAGAGCTTCTGCACAGCAAAAGGAAAAAACTATCAAAAGAGTAAACAGACAAGCTACAGAATGGGAGAAATATTTGCAGACTATGCATCTGACAAAAGTCTGATATCTAGCATCTACAAGGAACTTAAATGAATTTACCCAAAAAAACCCACTAAAACATGGGAAAAGGACATGAACACATGAACGGACACTTTTCAAAAGAAAACATACATATGGCCAATAAAAATATGAAAAAAAGCTCAATACCACTGATAATTAGAGAAATGCAAATCAAAACCACATTGAGATACCACCTCATGCCAGTTAGAATGGTGATCATTAAAAAAGTTGGAGACAACAGATGCTGGAAAGGATTTGGAGAAATAGGAACACTTTTACCCTGTTGGTGGGAGTGTAAATTAGTTCAACAATTGTGGAATACAGTGTGGCAATTCCTCAAGAATCTAGAAATAGAAATTCCATTTGACTCAGCAATCCCATTACTGGGTATATATCCAAAGGATTATAAGTCGTTCTATTGTAAAGACACATGCACATGTATGTTCACTGCAGCACTGTTTACAATTGCAAAGACCTGGAACCAATCCAAATGCCCATTGATGATAGACTGGACATGGAAAATATGGCACATATACACCATGGAATACTATGCAACTATAAAAAAGAATGAGTTATTGTCCTTTGTAGGGACATGGATGAATCTGGAAACCATCATGCTTGGCAAACTGACATAAGAACAGAAAGACAAACACCACATGTTCTCACTCATAGGCGGGTGTTGAACAATGAGAACACATGGACCCAGGGAGGAGAGCATCACACCCTGGGTTTTGTTGCGGGGGGAAGTAGGAGTTCGACAGTGCGGGTTAGGGAGGTTGAAGAGGGCTAACATGGTGATAAATGCCAGATATAGGTGACGAGCAGAATGAAGGGAGCAAACCACATTGCCATGTATGTACCTGTGCAACAATCCTGCATGTTCTGCACATGTACCTGAGAACCTAAAGTGAAATAAAATACATATATTAAAAAAGAAGTCCTTCTGTGTACCAGACATTGTTCCAGACCCACTTAGGGGTAAAGCAGGTAACTAAATGGGCAGAAAGCCCTGCCCTCATGTAGATTACTTGAATATATGCTTATTAAAAGTCTGCCTCACGAAAAACAAGAGATGAAGCTTGATTTTTATGCTAGATTCTTTCACTCCATTACATTTGGATAAGGGGGAAATACTGCATTAGTACCAGATTTTGTCTATCCTTATGGAACATCATGTTCATTTATTATTTTCATTTACATCTTCTAACTTGTATAGAAAATACACAATACAAATTTGGAGGCTTACTTGTTTGTTTGTGGGGTGTTAATCCACAAAGTGGTCAAGCCAGCCATGCAACCTTGTCCTGTTCATCAGAGAACTGACTCATGCTTGCCGGTTAGTAAACTACCTCATACTGAAGAAACTTCTTTCTGTGTGACTTACACATTCATCAAGGCATGGAATCATAACCCAAGAACCATTGAAGTAAAAATTTTTTGAAATAAATGCATTATTTCCTCACCTCAGAAAATCCTTATTTCCCTTCAAAGTGAACCCTCGCCTTTACCCATACTCACAGAAGGCAATATTTCTGATTTCTACCAACATAGATTAGTCTCACCTATCTTTGAATTTCATTTAAATGGAATCGTACTATGTGTCTGACATTTTTTGCTCAGCAAAATGATTTTGAGATTCATTCATGTTGTTGCATATACATGTATTAATAGTTTGTTCCTTTTTATTGCTGAGAGTTATTCCTTGTATGAATGTAACCACAATTTGCTTATTTATTCTCATCTTGAGAACATTCCCTCCCACCCACCCAGTTTTATTGCTGTTATGAAGAAAGTTGCTATTGTTTATGTACAACCCTTTTTACATACATATATTTTTTATTTCTCTTGGGTAAATACCTAGAAGTAGAATTGCTGGTTCATAGGATATATATGTGCTGAACACTAGGATTTATCTCCCTGTGGTCTTTGTGGTTGATGACTTTAGGATGGGGTCTCTGAGACGACATCCTTTATGATGTTGTTGATGATGAAGTTATTTCTGTTTTTTAGGTTTCCTCCTAACAGTCAGGCCCCTCTGCTGTAGGACTGCTGAGGTCCACTCCAGACCCTGCTTGCCTGGGGACCACCTGCAGTGGCTGCAGAACAGTAAGGGTTGCCGCCAGTTTCTTCTTCTGTTATCTTTGTCCCAGAAGGATACTCTCCAGATGTCAGCCTGAGCTCTCCTTTATGAGGTGTCATTTTGGATATACCAGGGTTGGGAGTGCTTGAGGAGACAGTCTGTCCCTTATAGGAGCTGAAGTGCTGAGCCGTGAGCTCCGTTGTTCCATTCAGAGCTGCTGGGCAGGTATGTTTAAGTCTGCTGCTGTGGAACTCAAAACCACCTTTTTTCCCAGGTGCTCTGTCCTGGAAAGGTAGGGCTTTCTTTATAAGTTCCTAATATGGAACTTATGCTACCAGCAAGGAGGTAGCCTATTCACAGTCTGCCAGCAGAGGCATTGCTGAGCTGCCGTGGGCTCTGCCCAGCTGCTGTGTGAACTTCCTTTTGGTTTTGTTTATAGACGTATGGTTAGAACTGCCGCAATAATCATGGCCTGGCTCAGTAATGGCAGATTGCCTCAGTAATGGCAGACTGCCTTGGTAATGGTGGACGTCCTTCTCCACACACAGCTGGACTATCCTGGTCCATCTGTCCTTGCTGTGAGACTCTCAATCCAGAGCATTTCAGATTGCTGGTCTTTGTGGGGGTGGCACCCTCCAAACCAGATCACCTGGCTCCCTGTTTCAGCCCCCTTTTTTTCAATTGAATGGGTGGCTCTGTCTCCTAGGTATTCCAGGCACCAGTTGAAATGGCCACCCAGATTTGTGTGAGTTTATGTGTGGAGACACGCTGCATCAGCTAAAACAGGCATGCTGGAAACTTGTGGTGCTTTTCAGCAGGGAATCTCCTGGTCTGTGGGCAGTAATAACTCATTTGGAAATGTGGTGATCACTCACCCTCTGCCTTGTTCTCGCTGGTGACTGCACTCCAGAGCTGCTCCTATTTGGCCATCTTGGATCCCTCCAGCTCAAGCTTCATCTCTTAACAGACCCTGTTCATGTACCAGATGGGAATATTTAAAATATACCCAGAAACGCAACCTTTCAATGATAGTGGATTTTAGCACAGGAAGGCTGATGCTGACATTTCTATACTTTCATTTTCTGTGATTCAATGAGCTACTTCGACATTACTCCTGGTTAATAACAGTTATCCAGATGCTTTGATTCTCTTTCTCACTCTGTGTACCATTTAGCTGCCCATCAGTGACTTGCAATTCTGTTAGTGACAAATCAATTTTATTCACAAACTATCAAGGTCAACTTTCACAAACACCATAGCCACAGACACAAAACAACTGTTAAGACAGAGCACAGTTGAGGGAGAAATTATTTTATTCCCATCTCATGGCTTGACTGGCCCCCAATAGGGGGATGTGATGCACCTGCTCTTTCAATACATTACATCATCACCTTCTCTGTGCCAGAGCACCAGCCACAGGGTAGTGATCAAAGCAGACATCTGCCCTCATGATGCATAGATTCTGGTTGAGGGAGACAGGTAATAAACAATTTAGTTAAATAGCAGTGTGATAGGTATTGTAATTTAGATGAACTAGGCAGGGAAGGTCTCAGCAAAGAGGAGACAAGTGAGTAAACACCTGAGGAGGATGTGAGCCATGTACATCTCTTGGGTAAACATTTTCCAGAGTGAGGAATAGCAAGAGCAACGTTTGGAGGCAGAAGAGTATCTGCCACATTCAAAGAACACAAGAAAACCATGTGGCTGGGGCAGAGGTGAGTAAGTGGAAAAGTCTGGAAGCTGAAGTCAAAAAGCTGTGTAGACTTTATCACATAGGGTGTTAGAGCTATTCCAACTAGCCTTTACTGTGAAGTGGGAAGCTACCAGAGGCTTTTGAGTATGTGTGAGTCATGTGACCTGACTCTGATTTTAACAGAATCACTCCAGCTGCTCTGTTGACAATAACCAAAGGAGATCAAGGGCAGACACAGGAAGGCCAGTGAAGTCCACATTAAATGCAATGAGGTTTGACTAGATATTTATTTCCCCCAGCCTCTGGTCCTTAAGTTTATACATCTAAGCTATTAGCAGAAAAGAAAGAGCAAAGCAGCTAAAAACAAATTTATCTCATTTTTTGGGCAACAAATCATGAAAATTTTTGAGGGGCAAGTAAAGAGAGAAAATATTAAGAAGTGTTCTCCTTCACCATTCTTTCTAGCTCTTTTTAGCCAAGCTTTGCATGCTCACCTAAACTGGTGGCATTTTTGTCTTTGACATGACGTTTGAGGTGAAGGAATGAATCTGTGATTCGGTGGTATTCCTGCTGGCCTTCTATCAATCTGTGAATTCAAAAGGCAAGAAAAGTTTCCTAAGAAGGACCAAAGAGAGTTAGGAAAGGTCAGTTACAAAGTGGGAGAGATAATCCTAGAGGGATGTACAGGGTGAAAGAAAATCCTATGACTTGATCTTGTTAGGAAGCTGACCTAGAAAGACTGGGCTGTGTAAGAAGCCTTCATCAAGAGTTACAAAGGGAACACACAAAAATGCTGGAAGGGTTTTCAACCTCAACATTATCACTGTGAGGAACCCCTCATACTTGGATCTTGAATTTGGGGGCATTAAAGCACAGAAGGTACCATCATAGTTCCACCACTGTGAATTTGCTGAACAGCGTAAGCAGTTCATTTTTCACAGAGTTTTGCTCATACAGGAGAATTTCCTCCAACTAGAAAATAGTTCTGATAACTGTTTCTCTTTATTAGCTGTGGAGGACATGTCCATCATCACTAGTGCATGAGTCAGGGCATGGGCACCAACAGCAGTTCAAAAATCTATCGTAAGTGGATTTTAGGGGTTGGCCAGAAACATAAAGTAGCATTGAGTGTTTTAGATACTGGCATGAGGCTGTGAAGAAGGTGGAGAAAACACTCTCCTCTAGATTCATCGTTTCACTCAGCGTAATCAGGGTTGAGGGAGGAAGCACTCAAACTGGAAGTGGTGACGTTTTTCTCTTTTCCTGGATCCCATTCAACTACAGGGGGTGTTGGTCATTTTCTGTGGTCCCCAAAAGCTGAACTGGGCAAAGTTGATGTCCATCATCTGAGCTCCTCACTCACACTGGGACAGTCATTTTGTGCTATGAATATTACACATTGTTGGTCATTGATTTGGGCATTTTTCAGGTGTAGAACAAAAGCCCTTTTGTTCACAAAATGGCTCGAAATGTTATCAGACTTTCCAAATATTCCCAGCACTTCAAATCCAAAATTATTACTACTGATCTTGAGAGGCATTGATTACAATTTCTCCAGAACTCTAGGTTTGTTTCTTTGAGAAGAAAGCATTGTTTCATGGCAACAGCAAAAAACAAAAAAAAAAAAATTGATTGTGCTTTTAGATGCTTTCACTTGATGAGTCAACTTCTCCCCATTTTTCAAAGTAGTCATTTGTATGTTTGAGGATAAGAAATTACCTATATACCCAAATAAAGCAAGGACTAGTGGGTTTTTTTTTTCCAAAGGGACATCATTTTAATATCTGAAAGTAGCATAACGTTCAGCCAATAGGCATTGGTACAACCATACATACTGCTTGTTTACAGCAGGCATCCCTTATGAGTGGTTGGCATCTGTCCTGTACCAGTTGTTAAATATTTCGAAAATCATCTCTGTATTAAAATAATTGTGGCCCTATGAGATAGGGAATATGAAAGAAATGCAGATTTCCCTTAATATCAATGGTATTTAGAGTAAGACTAGAATACATTAGTATATTTTAAGAGTTTAAGAAATGCAAAATTCAATAAACTGATATAACCAATCCTTCACCTAAGAAAGAAAAACACATCAGGGAACTTCCCACTGTACAAAGATTTTCCAGGATGGGAAACTAACATGATAGGATTCTCTGGGCGCTAATGGGCTTGCTAGTTACAGTCTGTGCACAAAGGAGGGAAAGGTTTCTAAGCACTGGATCTCAAATACTTCACATTCATTGTAACATAGAAGAGAAGAGAAAACCATAAATGTCGTTTTAAATTAAATACCAAAACTAATTTCACCACTTACAGTTCATTTCCTAGTGTGACTTTTTTCATCTCAGAACCAGAATGTTTGCCAACCAAAAGAAATCCATGATGATGAAGAAAGCACATGGCTGAAAGTGATTTTGGTCCATTGAACTGATGATCGTTCACTACTAAGGCAGCTAAGGAGACAGTACATAAACACTTGGATCTCGCCAGGATGGAATTGGAATATATCCTCAAGAGACAGCAGCAAGAAGTCAAATGGTCCCGCAAAATGGGCAATAAAAACATCACATCCTCCTTTCTATTCACAAACACTATTACCAAATCTTTCCCAGATATCTAGAAAGCAGACACTATGACAAATCTTCAGTCTGGTATCTAAACTAATTCATTCTGTTGCAATCTAAGCTCAATCTCTCACTCTATCCTCACTGAAAACCAACAGTAGCTGCTCATCCTCACTTACTATTGATTTTCCCCAGATTCTTTTCCTATCTAAGTGAAACAACTCAAATGTCCCTTCTTGGCCCTTGTATCATCCAAGGTTCTTGCCAGTTATGCAGGCTGCTGCTAGGGAATGATGGAGATGCACCCAGGTCAGAGGCATCTTCCTGGCTGTGGTAGCAGGCACTGCCAATGCCCAGATCATGGATCTTCCTGGTAGCCGACCTCCTGACAACCTCTGGATCTGACCAGCATCCCCCAGGGGAGGTAATCAAATCAAGGCCCAGGGCTGCCGAGAAGCCCGCAGACACTAAGAACACTGGAGAGCCAAAGAGAGTTTCTTCTCTGTTCCCCTCCTACTCCCCACTCCATCCTTTAGGAAAAGGGACCTCACTGAAGGACTCCTCAGTGGCAGAATGAATCCATATGGCTTGGTAGGCCAGCAGAAAATTTCAGAGAAAATGTCTGGAAAATGGGAAGCTAGGTCTTCAATGGTGGCCATTCTAAAGAGAAAAAGAAGAAGAAGAGGAGAAGAACCAACAGGAAGTGGTCTTCTGCTTACACATTCACATCTGGCGACTGGCTGCTGGCATGGGGATAGCTAGATGCCCTCCAGTTCACACGAAGAATAACTGAATGCTTCAGCATGGCTTTGAGATGACCAAGGACAGGGCCAGATTTGGTCTTGCTTCTTCTCTGAGACACTTACCATTTTCTCTGTAACCAGAACTTCTCTGAGGCACCACATGGCCCAAATCTTCCATCCCAGCAAAGACTCTTAGTTGAAGAGACTCTTTTCCTTTGCATTTCCAGAATTCATACTGAGAGCTTTCCAGACTGTGGTTTTAGGCATTTCATCAGATATATTAATCTCAGACAGGTCACATCTGCAACTGTTGTTCTTTCCAGGACTACTTAATGACTTCCTGCTCTCTAAGGGGAACTTGTTTCCCCCAATTTCTAACATTTTCTCAGCCTCCTCTTCCTCCTTGGCCTTCTTTTTGGCATCATCCAACTTCTTCTTTTTGCTTTCAGGCATGAGATCATCTAACCAGCTCAGCTCTCGCTTAGAGAAACAGAGATCCATGACTTCCCTGACAAAAACCAAGGCCAAAACCATCATTGGGAAAACAATGGCTGCTGGAGAGGCCTTGATGACCCAGAGCAGGACGAGACAGGTCAGCTGAATGACGGTGAAGAGGTACACTTTGTGCAGTGGCACATGCCGCAGGTAGATAAAATCTGGTTGGTGCTTTGCGGGCATCCCAAAGAGCTTTAGATGATCAAAGAACTGAATTCCCTGTAGTGAAGAAACTCCCATGTAGAGGAAAATTCCATAGAGTACTGGCATTGGAATAAACTTTTAAAGATAGCCATCATGAAGACTGAGCAGCCCATCAGCACAAAGATCATAAGGCCTGTCACTCTCTGTTCTCGGATGCCTAGGAACTTGGGCTGTTCTCCAGGAGCAGAGCATTCAGATTCTAGCTTGAGGCTGTTCACATGTGTGATGGGCAAGCTACAAACCAAGGCAGCCCATGATGGAGCAGACACCCAGCATGATTGCCACCACCAGTAGGTCCAGGTGGTAGCCACAGCCTTTCTTGAGCTTATGTTCCTTTCTATTAATAATGACGGCTGTGATCTGCTGATCCATGAATATCAAGCTAGTGCAGAGAAGAGCTGGGATAATTGCAGCTATCACAGTCCACCAGGGATTGGGGCCAATAGGATTAATAATCCATCCTCGATCATCCCTTGTTGGCTCGAACACACTGGGAACTTGAAGCTTTGGTGGTGGAACTCCAATCAAAAAATCAATAATCACCATTGTGAAGATAGTGAGGAAAACAGCAAAGTCACTCACCATGGAACGTACTCTGGTCGGGAAATAATGGCTCATCTTAAATGTCTTTAAGGTGCTTGAGAGAATGAAGGTGGTGAAGAAGAGAATACAGGACCAAAAGAGGACATCAGGAGTGTAGGGTCCATGATGACCGCACGCAGATCCCATGAACTCTCCATGCATCTCCTGGCATTCACTGACAGTCAGATTAGCCCAGTGGACTTCTGCTGTCACGATGTTGTGGTCCTTCCAGTACTGCAGAGTGTGATTGTTTGGATTCTCTGGGAGAGTACACCTGCAGTAATAGAGGCTAGGGTGGTCCAGCTGGCTGTGCATGTGGATGGGATAGGTCTCTGCCAGGTGAATCAGTTTTTCTATTGCTTCGTAGATGAAAATAATGCAAATTGGGGAGGTCAATGCTTCTTCAGTGAAACGGGTAATGTAGCAGACAAGGGAACTGGCATCAGTTGCCACAAGGACAATACACAGGAAAGCAGTCCACAGTCCAATACAAGCTTGCAGGGAGAGGTATGGAAGAGCATAGTCTTTGCAGAATTTGAACAAAATCTTTTCAAACACAAGCACTGGCCCAGTACTTCCCAGGATGGTGAGAGCCTGTCCCGCAAACAAGGAATAAGCAATCCCAGTCATGGAGGCTCCAAACAAGGATTCAATTGCACTTACGCGTCCCTCAGTGGCTTCTCCAAGCAATCCCCCAAAGGTGATGACAGGTGACATGCAGGCACAGTACAGGAACAGAAAGGAGGCCAAACACTGTAAGCTGAGTGCATCCCGGTAGCCGCTCCAGTACCAGGGGGCCTTCCACTTGATGTCCAACACCAAGCCCCCAAATAGCCGCCCAGTGAGCTGAAGTTCTGGCCCACTGTGACCCCCATGTGGTTCCTGTTCTATGTGGCAAATAGTTTCATTTGGAACTCCAGGTATTTTCCTTTTCTCCTGGGAAGCGACATTTTTGGGTGGCTCAATTCTAATGGAGGGATCCCACTCTCCTGGAGGGAGCACCGTCACCTGGTCAAGGAACTCGTCAATCCCCGCCAGGAGATCATCTCGCTCTTTTGCCTTATATGCTACGTCATGAAAAATCTCATCTGTCATGAAGGTGGCCATGGATCTGCCAATCTCATGGTACTGCTGACCTTTCCCTACTGGACCCAATAAGATAAACAAAAATCTTGTTGGGATTGGAACTTCTGTTAGGCCTGAGAGAAGAACAGCTGGAGACAGTCTCACAAAGGCAACAATGGGATGGTCCAAAATATCCACCTCTCCAACCAGGACATTGAAGGCCTCAGCCCCAGTAGGAATTTTTTTCATGAAATGAAGGTCTACCTTGCTTAAATCCACAGGACTATGTTCACAATTCACTCCATTTTTTACTTCAAGACTTGTAGTTGGAACGGACTGAGGGGACACAGTTTGACCATGTTTATCCATCAAATGTGGATCGGACTGCTTCTTGCCAACCTCAGCAAAGGAGCAAACAATGGGAATGAGGTTGTTTCTCTTCTTTTCATTCTGATGATGATGCTTTTTGAGAAGGGCTTCCCGCACTTTAACCCGCATGCTATCATTCAGGTCACTGGACAGTTCTTGCTGATCCAGGATCAGGTCTGAAATTTCTTCTATGCTATTTGCACGCATATCCAGAAGGACTGTTCCATTAATAAGGCAGCTTCTTAGTTCAAACAGACTGTGCAATGAAAGGGTTGCCACGTAAGGCTTACTCCAGCATTCTCCTCCATCTTCAACATCTTCTTCAAACTTCAGTCACCTGGCTGTTTCCTTCCACTCAGCATCTTCTCCCTCTTTCATACAGATCTCATCCAGCTCTGTAAACAGCTCATGAGGCACATGCTCTTCATCTTCCTCGGTGCCAAGAATGAACTGAACACGCTGAGATGGTGTGTCGTGGGCCAGGGTTTCCAGGCCTTCCTCCCCTTGGCTGGCTCCTTTGCCCCGCCCTCGCCTCCGGTGCTTCGGGCCATGAGTGTGGTGGTGCCGATGACTCTGCCGGCCCAGCGGCATCTGAACTCCCACGTACAGAGTTCTATGACCTTCCAGCTCTTCTTTTTCATAGTGAATGTTGAGAATTGTACTGGTCCCACCCTGATCCACCACAGCTTCTTCATCTGGTCTCTGATAGCTGAGGATGCCGTCAGGCTCGTTACTCCCGGGGGCCGGCATGGTGGAGCCGACCTAGGTCTCCCCCGCGGGCTCCAGGCTGAGCGTCAGCAGCCCGCACCCTCTGGTAGGGTCTGAGCAGATCACTTGAACGGCGACCCCTACCCCGGAGCCAACGGTGAACCATCAACCGCCGCCACCTCCATAGCCACCGATCCGCCGGACTGGTGGTTTCTATCTAGCCATGGCCTCTCAGAAAGTGACTATTCACCCTCCTTTAGTGGAGATGAGTTCCTATAATTTTTTCTTGCCTTGGTATCTATTTTGAATAGAGGTTTCACTTTCTTACACCAGAAGACCTTAGTCACCATGGACAGTTTCCAGTTCTCCACCTCCTCCAGTTCCTCAGAGTGATCAATTCAAATATCTGCCCCAAACAACCACCTCCTTGTGCCCATCTGCCTATGGATAAGCTAGATACAGCCCACTTGACTCACCCCACTGATCCATACACCCCACATGGACTGTGCAGAACGGCTGTGGTGACCACCCCTCAGTCGCAGTGTGACTCCATAGAACTCATGTCTGCTGGTTGTAAACCCACCAATTAGCACTCCCCATAGGGAATCTGCTTAGGCAGCACCCTGGAGCCCAATAAGGGCTGTGGCCCACAAGTCCCTTACTATCTTTTGATCCCCACCCGTTAATTGAGTGTGTCCAGGATGGCTTCCCCCTTTCCTTGGCCCTGGGAAGCATGCTGCCCTGTGTTCTCTGGGGCCTGTAAGTAATATACTGCTCCTGGTATTTCATTTGTTTTATTGAGCTGCCTCCTCTGTGTCTCATCTGACTGACACTCAAACCTAACTTCCTACCCAGTTAGGGCTCTCCTGAGGAGTGGTTATGTTGGTAGGAATAAGCTGGACACAGGTCAGACAAGGACACAAGGGTATCTGCCAATCTGATCAAGTTTCCTGTGAGAGAGACACCTGGTCACAGATCAGACACTTGGACCAGGATAAAGAAGTACCCCATGAAAGGCACACTGTAAACACCCATGATCAAATCCCATAGAGTCCCATCAGGGTGGGGCTAGAGTTTATAACCACTCTGCAGAGAAAGCTCCAGACCAAATTAGAGGAAAAACAACACCCCCTTACTTTTCTCTTGCCAAGAAAGGATGCTAAGGAATTAGGTCCCAATTTTACTCTGATTTCACTCCTGTTCTCTCCCATCCAGAGAATCAATTCTAGGTTGATTTTTTTCTCTTACGGATTTGCTAAAAGCAAAAACAACTCCCTTAGCCATCCAAACATGAAATTTACTACTCGTTACCAAAAAGACACTAGTTACCAAAAGGAAACTTCTCACCAAAGGCCCATGATGGTCTTGGTCCACACTGCTTTCCTGTGACAGTTGCACTGTTGTTGAGAGAACTCTGAGACTCAAGTTTCAATGTTGAATGGACACACTAATTCATGCCCACTTCTTTCTAAAACTCTAACCATTTATTTTGTTGGGCCAGTTTTATAGTTTCTACAAAGGTGCAAAGCTTTCATTAAAAAAAAATCCCTGGCCATTTATTCATTTGACAATCAGGTATGAGACACAATTTCTATTCTTATTACCAGCAAGCTAGCAGGAGGTACGAAAATAAACTATTTTCAGTTAGGGAAGACATTCCTATAGAGGTTGCTGTTCTTCCCACATTGACTAGTGTCAGAAGCATGCACTGGAGGCCCCCAAGGTAATTGTCCAAAGGATGGGAGGGTCTAAAACAGCCTTGTCTAATAGAAACTTAAATGCAAGCCACACATGATTTGGGATACTCTAGTAGCCACATTAAAAAACAAGTAAAAAGAAACTGATAAAAATCATGCTATTAATATATCTTAAATCACCACATGCTTAGTGAATTAAAACAAGGCAAATGTATTATCTGGAGTCCAAAATGGTTCTCACTGGGCTAAAATCAAGGCATCGACAGGGCTGTGTTCTTTTCTGGAGATTCTAGAAAAGAACATGTTTTCTTGCCTTTTCCAGCCTACAGAGGCTGCCACATTCCTTTGCTTGTATTCGAAGCCAGCAATGGCTGGTAGAGTCTTTCTTAGAACACATCACTTTGACGCTGACTCCTCTGTCTCTCTCTTCCACATTTAAGAAACTTTTGATGACATCAGGCCCACTAAGGTAATCTAGGATGATTTTGTTTAAAGGTAACTGATTAGCAACCTTAATTCCATCTGCAACCTGCATTCTCTTTTGCCATGTAACAAAAGATATTCACAGGCTCTGGAGATTAGGACATGCACATCACAGGGAGAGGGTTCTCATTCTGCCTGCCAGAGTCAATATAAAAATTATTAATAAAATATTATTTGGGGTTCTTCTCACTTGTCTTCAAAGTCTTCAAAATTCTGTGTGTATTTTGCAATTAGAGCACATCTCAATTTCAATGACAGTCACATTTCAAGGACTCAGTAGACATATGTGGCCAGTAGTTACCAAAATGGATAGCAGAGGTTTACAGCAAGGGTTCTGAACTTGGGCTGCACATTGGAATCCTCTCTGGAGGAGCTTTTTAAAAATCCTGATTTTCAACCCATACACCATTCCAAAGAAGTCAGAACTTAGGCGCCAGTAGCTCCTCAGATGATTCCAATGTGTAGCCAATATTGAGACCCTTCAGAGTAGGGCAAGAATAAATCTCGTTCTCTCCATGCAGTTGGGACATCCTCCCCCCCCACTTTCTCTTTCAAGATTCAGAGCCATTTCTTTGGTGTCAAAGGCTTAGTGGTTGTGCCATGCTAGGCATTTTAAATGGTAGGTGCTGTGTGTGTGTGTGTGTGTGTGTGTGTGTGTGTGTGTGTACAAAGGTATGGGCATTTAGCTTTCAGCATTCGAACACATAATACTCAATGTAAATTCTGAGCCTTCTGACTGGCTCTGAGAGCCATTCGCTCATATCTTCTCATTCACCACATAGTTAGTAAATACCTGCTGTGAACCAGGAAATACACCAGAACATTCTGGCTTTTCCTGTCCATGGTTAGTGAAAGAAGCTGCTATGGAAGAGCTGTAAGGTCAAAATTTTTATCCCATGCTGCCTGATGACTATTCTGGGGACACAGACACACACACACACAAACACACAAATGCATATTTTTAATAACACTGGATAGGCATTGCTGCAGTTAGATCTGAGCAAATCCATTCTATTCCAGAAAAACAACTCAGGATAAACTCATTTTCCAAGAGAAACTGTGACATCTTAACAGTGACTTTGCTGACAAGTCCAAATGATACAATGGTCCTTGAACCCTGAAACACCAAACTCCCTTGCAGCCTCCTGCAAACCTTCCCTGTCACCTGTTTACCTTTCCTTTCTGCCACACTTTTCTCTCTGCTTTGTATATTCCTGGGTCTCTCCTCTTTCTTATGAAGATGGTCCCCCATGACCTGGTCTGCCTGCCTTCTACTCTCCTGCTTTCTTAGGTCACTAGATTATGTCTGTTACCCACAGTCTCAGTTCCACTTCAACCGTCTCCTTCTGAAATTTAGTACAAATCCCACCAAATGCTTGCTACCAGAATGCTCCTGCTAAATAGAAAACTCTTCTCCCTCTCTTTCTTCTTTCCACACTTATTACACACAGAATAAAATCTAAGGTCTTTAACATCCTCCACAATGTGACCCAATTCCCTTTGCACTTTCCCCTCCCACTTCCTATCCCCATGTAGAGTCCTTTGGCCAACTAGACTCTTTTATTCCCTGGAGAGAAGACATTCTGCAGTTTGCCCAGGTGGAGCTCACCTCTTTCACATCATGAGTAGACATTTTACCCTCATTTCCTGGCTCTTCTCGACAACTCTCATAGGACCTCGCTACACTAATCCATCTGAGGATGCACTCCGATGGATTGTGTGTGTGTGTGTGTGTATGTGTGTACAAAGGTATGGGCATTTAGCTTTCAGCATTCAAACACATAATACTCAATGTAAATTCTGAGCCTTCAGTCTGTATCTTGACCTCTGTATCTTGTCTTTCAGTCTGTATCTTGACCTCTGTATTAGTCAGTATTTCCAGAGAAACACAACCACTAGGATGTGTATGTGTATTCAGAGAGAAAGAGAGATTTATTTTAAGGAATTGGTTCCCATGATTATGGAAGCTGGGAGTTTTCAAATCTGCAGAGTAGGCAGGTGGGCCGAAGACCAAGGGAAGAGCCAATGCTGCCATTCAAGTTTGAAGGCTATCTACTGACAGAATCCCCTCTTCTTTCTGGAAGGTCAGTCTTTTGTTCTATTCAGGCCTTCAACTGACTGTATGAGGCCCACCCACAATACAGAAGGCAATGTGCTTTACTTAGTCTACTAATTTAAATGTTAATCTCATCCAAAAACACATTTTCACAGAAACGTTAATAATGTTTAAGCAAATATCTGGGTACCATAGGCAAGTTGACACATAAATTAACCACCACAACCTCTGAGCACCAGAGGGCAAAGACTATTACTTTTTCCCCACTGAACTCCCATCTAATTGCCCCACCACAGTGCCATGATGGCTTACTCATGGCAGGCCCTCAGTAAACATGGGATGAATTGATCCCAATCAAAACATATGCAGAGGCCCTGACTGTGAAGGAAAGCCAGCATTCTGTCACCCAGGCTAGATATGCAAGGTGCTGTCCTTCTGCCAAACTTTCCTTGCCTTTGAGGTTTTCTCCTCTCTCCAGACTGCATTTGCCTGTAAGTAATACAAAATAAGTATGTTTAAATCTCAAATCAAAGTAACTACCCACATTCAAAATCTCCTTGACCCTAATGAAAATCTCAAATCACAACTTGGGCACCTCAGAATGTCCAAATATGCCCTTGGCTAAACAAACTTAAGGACACAAGAGAGAAAGCCACTAAAACTAGGACTAGTTTGCTAACCTGGCAACTTGTGCAGGGTTGAGAGCCCCTCTTGACTTACCCATGGAGCAGGTCAAGGCCCAGGACAGCACACAAATGTATATACAAAAGCTCAAAACACAGAGGTCTCAGTGAAGAACAATAAGGAAATAGGGGACTCCCCCAGCCCATCACATCCTGACACTTCTGCTCTGCAGGGAAGAGCTGAATAAGCAGTTGGCCTACTGGCCAGAAAGCTCTGGGGGATTGTAGCCGAGGAGGGGAGAAGAGGCAGACACTGCCAGACTGCCCAGTTG